GTTTTGAATATGGATATTTTTCTTACAAAAATGCATCGATTCGGTACAGAAGCCCTTTGTTCACCCCCCGGAGCCGTGGGAGACACTTTTATTTATGGATGGGCGCTTTTTATTTAACTTCTTTTGGACTGATGCATGCAACACCCGCTGAGTGCCATTAAACAGCTTGAGACCATTTTTAATATAACTCCGACTGGATTCGTCTGAAAGAAGAAAGTCATATACACCTAGGATGACTTGAGGGTGAGTAATTCATTGGCTAATTTTTCATTTTTGGGTGAACTAACCCTTTAATGTGACGAGTATCCCGTATATATGTCGGCACATGGAGTTCTGGAGTAAAAACACCCTCTCCAGATGAATTGATGAATTGCATAATTCATCAATTGATATTGAACACATAATAAATGACTAGAGCCTGGTTTTCCACATGCACACGTAATTCATCGCTTCTCTTCACACACAGACACACACTGCACAAGCTTTCACGCTTCTCGGACACGACAAACGTAACGCGCAGTGCTTTAGTCTGTGTGTGTGTGTTTGTGTGTGTGCGTCTGACCTCTTGCATGGCGGTTTGTATTGATTATTGAGCTCGACGCCGGACCAACAATCTCTCTATTTTTGGAGCGATCCGTCTGCACACGCCGCGATCCGTCATAGGCTCTTCCACTGATCGCATGCGCATGCGCAGACGCTCACACAGGCCGATAACCGTCTGATCGGGTCTTTCATGCGACCTTTATTACGTAACACCACACACCCTTCCCCGGCTGAATCGATGTTAAAAGCTTTACGCCGCTGGGATGAGCGTCAGCGGTCAGCAGCTGCAGAGGTCGTTTTGCAAGGTCGCTGCTGGAAAAGAACATGTTTATGTCATCTATTAAGTATACAGCATAGGAAAAAAAATTTAACCATTGATTTTCTTTACGGCAGTAATATTATTAGTGATAAAAATGCATTAGGCTACATTAATTGAAGCATTTTTAAATCTTTTGACTCCACTGTATATTATATTCTACGTGAATCTAAAATAAATTTTTGATGCAATGTCCTCAATTAAATATTAAATTCCTCTTCAGATCAGTGTGTTTTTCTGTCAATATGGGGTGCTGTGTGTACATTAATGAGGAAAAAAAATTAACTTAAATGATTTTAGCAAATGGCTGCAATATAACAAAGAGTGAAAAATTTAAGGGGGTCTGAATACTTTCCGTACCCACTGTATAAAGCATAATCGAAGTAAGTGTTTTAAAAAATGCATCTGGGACTTTAATCAATTTAATTTACTCAAACTCAAACATGGCCCAAATAGTCTTGCAAATACACAAATGAATTCTAGAGGAAGTTTTTTTTTTTTTTTCATGACAGAGTGACCTCTAACCACCGGCCAATCAGCAGTCAGATCGAGGATACACTTCAACAACAGTAAAATGAAAATGGTATGAAAATCGACTTGCTTGAGTTGAGAATAGCAGATTATGCCCACTTAGATGGGAAGAATGAGTCTGATTGGCATGCAAAGCAATCAACCTGTTTGTAATAATAATAATCAGAAATGTTTCTTGAGCAGCAAATCAGCATATTAGAATGATTTCTGAAGATCATGTGACACTGAAGACTGCAGTAATGATGCTGAAAATACAGCTGCGCATCACCACAATAAATTACAGTTTAATGTATATTAACATAGAAAACAGTTATTTTAAACGGTAATAATATTTCACATTTTTTATTGTGTTTTTGATCAAATAAAGTAAACTTTTAGGTGCATCATGACACATCACTCACAGTGTTCATCTCAATGTAAGGCTTTTTTTCTCCTCCTCTTTGTCTTTTTGTTCAGTTTTTTGCACTTATGCCTGTGAGATCGGTCTAGAGAGAGATTTATTTTGACCACATCACCTCCTCGTTCTCACTGACACTTATACGTGTGTGTGTGTGTCTGTCAACCCTCATGTTTCTCTCGTTCTGCTTCGTCTCTCTACCCACGATGCCGTTTGTTCATGCGTGTGTGAGAGAGAGAGGTTTCTTCTTCATTTTTAGTTTCATGGCCCTCTTGCCGAGATTTCACTCACATAATTGCAAATCGTGGTTTTCATCCCTAATTTAGTATCATTTTGAATGTTCATGGTTGTTTTCTTTCTCCCCTTCCATTTATTTATTTATTTTTTGGTTGCTCTTTGTAAGTTTGCTCTTGTTTGTTTATAAGAGTTATATATATATATATTTTATAAATGCATGATCAGAAAATATTTGAAGTAAAATAGTAAAATATTTTGAGTTATCACTGTAAAGCCTGACATATGAAATAATAGTAAAAACTATGTTTTATTTGTTTATTTTTAAATTAAAGTGGTATTGGACCTTTAGACAAACGGTTTGCATTTTTTTGTGTGTTTGTTTTCTATTTTTGTGTTGAGGATCACATTTGATACATCAGGCTTTTATGGCTCATATTATCTGATATAGTGAGAATATGGAGTTAAAAGCAGCTCAATTGTATTCAGAATAAAAAAAATAGCTGCAGATGCTGATATTTATAAGATAAAATTAAGATGAAATTCTGATGCTTGTAATTTAAATCAATGAGATCTGTATAACAGTACAGCAGATACTGACATAAAATGATATAAATACCATTCGTCACACTATAGCTCCAATAATATGTCTTAGTAAGATGAGATTTAAATGATCCAAACATATAATGCAATGCAACCCAATGATGATAAAGGCTCCTCAGAAGATGTGAGATGTTCTGGAGGCTTGTGAAGATCATTCCTCCGCTGAGGAACAGTGAAAGTAAAGCTTCTGGAAACAAACGCTCCTCAAAAGATCCTGATGATCAGATTTGAGACTCTAAAACATGATTGAATCAAGTAAACCTAAGTTGCTTTAATTAAGTGTTCATCTTGAAATACTATTAACAATATCAAAGTTATTCTCATGTTTACTTGATAAAAATCATTAAAGATTTGACAGAAGAAATACACGTGAAGCACGAGCTGAAGGTGGATGTTTGTGCAATTACACTAAAAGACCTTTACTTGCTAAAAAGCTCTAAACTATCAATCAGACAACAGAAGGCATGGATTGTGTGCCACGGGTTTCTCAGTAAAGTGTTGATCATATTGATCATTTAAAGGCTTTAGAAATTTAGCCAATGTAATAAAGTAGCTTTGGGGTTAAAACTGGAATTTTCTGGCATTTGAATTTTAACCTAAATAACCTTTAGAAGATTTTATTTTTAAGGAAAGTGGATGAAAATATTCACGATTCATCCAGTACTGAACATGTCCAAACAGATGCTTTAAAGAATGAGAAAGTATCTTCCCTAATATCACCTGACTAGGAAGTAGCAAGTCATGATTAATGACTTTTGCTAAATATCCTTCCCAAACATCCTGTTTCAATAAATACATCCATGCATGAAAGAAAACTGGCTGCTTTTAATAGTCTTTCAAATGCATTAGCCAGAACGGTGAGTGGAATGCACACAGAGTTTTTTGCATTACTCGTCACCGCCTGTAACCGCTCAGCAATCCGTGAGAGTCAGATAAAACGGCCGGTTGCATTCAGACACACACAGAAATAGATGGTAAGAAACGTACGTCACGATGTTGAGACCGAGAGTGAGTCATTCTATAACTAGAGTTATGCAAGGGATAATGCAATAATAACAGCCCGTCTCTCTCTCATACGTCTCACTAATGCAATAATGTCACTTCTTAGACATATGTTATGGCTGAATTGCTTAAGTCTCTTTGAGGATCCATAACATCTAAGGCAACAGATTCTGCGTTTGTGTGTTTGTTACACTGAGTGACGGGCTTCTAATTTTAGTTCCCTCCTCCGTACTAAGCAGACTTTGATGTTGTAATATTCAGCATGGGATGGTACATGAGTAAATATTTCATCTGACTCTATTTAGAGAAGCTCTGGTTGTATTCAGAATAACCTGACAATAACCTAGACAATACCTGTCTATAGTAAACACCTGTGAAAAAGAAGTGCACTTAATTGAATTGAATGCACCTTTGCAATGTACTTAAAATCTTAAAAGAGAGATATATATATATATATATATATAGAGAGAGAGAGAGAGAGAGAGAGAGAGAATTTATTAAAAAACTGTATTTGCAGATAATAGAATAATAATGAAATAAAAGGCTACTTAAGCGACTTTCACTTTCTTAACACACTTAAGTACACTTTTATAAAGTGAAAATCATGTCAAATAAGTATTACTTTAAAGTACATTTTAAACTATTATGCTATTATAAACTTTATTCTGCCATGCTTTAAAGAAGTACACTTATGTTGATGTGTTGACTAACTTACTAAAGCACATGTAAAGAACTTGA